CAGATGTGTTAATAAAAAAAAAAAAAAAAAAAAAAAAAAAAAAAAAAAATTCTACATGTACATGCCCTTGTGGCTTAGCGCTTCTTTTTGATTATAATAATAATAATAATAAATGTACATGTACAAGGTATACAGGCCTAGCTGACATCAGTGACATATGTACTATGTAGAAAACCCCTTATGTAGAGCATTTCCCACAAATTAGGTCAATTTTGTCCCAGGATGCGACCCACACCAGTCACCTAACACCCAGGTACCCATTTTACTGATGGGTGAACATGAACAGCAAGTGCCTTGAGGAAATACATCCTAAGGTTTCCTGCCATACCGGGCAATTGAACCTTGAATCACAGTGTGTGAGCTGAGTGCACTAGCAATCGAGCTACGCGACACCTAATAAATAATACACCTAATAAAAAATAATAGACACCTACCCAAACAATAATGCAATCATTGTAAACATTTTTGTTATGAAAATAAAACTTATTTTACTTAGTTTTACTTTTATTCACATTCAAACATAATCCATATATTATAGCATCTGATTATAAATACGTATTACAACATATAAAAATACTCAATTTGAGTTTATTTTTTTAAATTCTAACAAAATATTCTACAGTAAATTATAATTTTTAAAATCCTAGTACACATTCTGAGCCTAATAAGTCAAGTAGGTTAAACAATTAAAAATTCTTATATTTCATGTGTATCGAGATATATTCGTGTGAATAAGCATGGTAAACAAATGTTTGATTTTGTACCATAATTAAACATGATCTACCTTCTCTAGATTTATTTAGTACAGTATATTATTGCATATTGTAGCTTTATGCAGCAGTAATAAATGTGGGTTTGTTAAAGTGACCCCACATGGATTTTGAACTTTCAATGTAATATGCATTTGTGATTATGACTTATTATAACAATTCCATTGAGCTTATCCAAAGTCAGCCTGAATTTATGTTCAGTTTAAAATGTACAACACCTAAAAGATACTGCGACTCGTAATGCAGTGTTCACATTTTCACATCTTCCAGTTCAGTTTAGCATCTGTTGCCTTTCAAAACTGAACCCAGTCTTTGACCAATTACAGCTTAATGCATTCCCAAAAAAAGTCTTCATAAATCAACTGTATGGAACTCTGAACCTAGCTTCCTAGACACACTTGTAATGATCGAATATGTATTCCTGCGCTATACATATTATATCATAACTAAGTAAAAAATTTTTTTTTTTTTTTTTACTAAGAAATCAAAAAACATATACTATTCAAAAGTCACTTCTCTTCTCATTTCTTCCCCCACCTTCTCATTCCCTCTTGCTTTACCTCACTCCTCCTTCCAATGTATTTGACATATCACTATGTTTATCCATCACATGCCCCCCACCCACACTTCCTATCCACCCAAACACCATATTCCACCCTCTTACTGTACCCCTGAGCACTTCTTTTTGATTATTATAATAATAATTACTGTACCCCACTAAGACATTATACCCTCTTCCCACTGTACTCTATCTCCAGTGTAATGTGCTCTATTTTTTTATTATTATTATCACACCGGCCGATTCCCACCAAGGCAGGGTGGCCCGAAAAAGAAAAACTTTCACCATCATTCACTCCATCACTGTCTTGCCAGAAGGGTGCTTTACACTACAGTTTTTAAACTGCAACATTAACACCCCTCCTTCAGAGTGCAGGCACTGTACTTCCCATCTCCAGAACTCAAGTCCGGCCTGCCGGTTTCCCTGAATCCCTTCATAAATGTTAACTTTGCTCACACTCCAACAGCACGTCAAGTATTAAAAACCATTTGTCTCCATTCACTCCTATCAAACACGCTCACGCATGCCTGCTGGAAGTCCAAGCCCCTCGCACACAAAACCTCCTTTACCCCCTCCCTCCAACCCTTCCTAGGCCGACCCCTACCCCGCCTTCCTTCCACTACAGACTGATACACTCTTGAAGTCATTCTGTTTCGCTCCATTCTCTCTACATGTCCGAACCCCCTCAACAACCCTTCCTCAGCCCTCTGGACAACAGTTTTGGATATCCCGCACCTCCTCCTAACTTCCAAACTACGATTCTCTGCATTATATTCACACCACACATTGCCCTCAGACATGACATCTCCACTGCCTCCAGCCTTCTCCTCGCTGCAACATTCATTTACCCACGCTTCACACCCATATAAGAGCGTTGGTAAAACTATACTCTCATACATTCCCCTCTTTGCCTCCAAGGACAAAGTTCTTTGTCTCCACAGACTCCTAAGTGCACCACTCACTCTTTTTCCCTCATCAATTCTATGATTCACCTCATCTTTCATAGACCCATCCGCTGACACGTCCACTCCCAAATATCTGAATACGTTCACCTCCTCCATACTCTCTCCCTCCAATCTGATATTCAATCTTTCATCACCTAATCTTTTTGTTATCCTCATAACCTTACTCTTTCCTGTATTCACCTTTAATTTTCTTCTTTTGCACACCCTACCAAATTCATCCACCAATCTCTGCAACTTCTCTTCAGAATCTCCCAAGAGCACAGTGTCATCAGCAAAGAGCAGCTGTGACAACTCCCACTTTGTGTGTGATTCTTTATCTTTAACTCCACGCCTCTTGCCAAGACCCTCGCATTTACTTCTCTTACAACCCCATCTATAAATATATTAAACAACCACGGTGACATCACACATCCTTGTCTAAGGCCTACTTTTACTGGGAAAAAATTTCCCTCTTTCCTACATACTCTAACTTGAGCCTCACTATCCTCGTAAAAACTCTTCACTGCTTTCAGTAACCTACCTCCTACACCATACACTTGCAACATCTGCCACATTGCCCCCTATCCACCCTGTCATACGCCTTTTCCAAATCCATAAATGCCACAAAGACCTCTTTAGCCTATATCTAAATACTGTTTCACTTATATGTTTTCACTGTAAACACCTGTCCACACACCCCCTACCTTTCCTAAAGCCTCCTTGTTCATCTGCTATCCTATTCTCCGTCTTACTCTTAATTCTTTCAATTATAACTCTACCATACACTTTACCAGGTACACTCAACAGACTTATCCCCCTATAATTTTTGCACTCTCTTTTATCCCCTTTGCCTTTATACAAAGGACTATGCATGCTCTCTGCCAATCCTAGGTACCTTACCCTCTTCCATACATTTATTAAATAATTGCACCAACCACTCCAAAACTATATCCCCACCTGCTTTTAACATTTCTATCTTTATCCCATCAATCCCGGCTGCCTTACCCCCTTTCATTTTACCTACTGCCTCACGAACTTCCCCCACACTCACAACTGGCTCTTCCTCACTCCTACAAGATGTTATTCCTCCTTGCCCTATACACGAAATCACAGCTTCCCTATCTTCATCAACATTTTAACAATTCCTCATAAATATTCCTTCCATCTTCCCAATACCTCTAACTCTCCATTTAATAACTCTCCTCTCCTATTTTTAACTGACAAATCAATTTGTTCTCTAGGCTTTCTTAACTTGTTAATCTCACTCCAAAACTTTTTCTTATTTTCAACAAAATTTGTTGATACATCTCACCCACTCTCTCATTTGCTCTCTTTTTACATTGCTTCACCACTCTCTTAACCTCTCTCTTTTTCTCCATATACTCTTCCCTCCTTGCATCACTTCTACTTTGTAAAAACTTCTCATATGCTAACTTTTTCTCCCTTACTACTCTCTTTACATCATCATTCCACCAATCGCTCCTCTTCCCTCCTGCACCCACTTTCCTGTAACCACAAACTTCTGCTGAACACTCTAACACTACATTTTTAAACCTACCCCATACCTCTTCGACCCCATTGCCTATGCTCTCATTAGCCCATCTATCCTCCAATAGCTGTTTATATCTTACCCTAACTGCCTCCTCTTTTAGTTTATAAACCTTCACCTCTCTCTTCCCTGATGCTTCTATTCTCCTTGTATCCCATCTACCTTTTACTCTCAGTGTAGCTACAACTAGAAAGTGATCTGAAAGTGATCACTAGAAAGTGATATGTGCTCTAGTACACCCTATACTATGCACTCCAGCACCATCCCGTGCCCTGTAGGACAGCCTTCAATTGTCTAGGAAGCGATTAACACATTCTTCAATGTTTAATGGGGTAAATTTTCCCATGACATGGATGGTTTCCTAAAGCCATGGGAGTGGCTGACATTCTTCCCACAGTAATCTCTATCACAGCCCAAGTCAAGTCTGGGAAATATCCTAGCCAGTCATCCTAAAAAGGTACTTCAGGCATGAAGGAACTAAACATACCTCAAAGTGTGGCAAGAAGCAGTCTTGCCTAAAAACCTTGGACCACACTGTGAAAGATGCAGGAAAATAAGACAGCAATTCCAGGTACGTACACTATTATAGTTTAATATTAATGGGGAAATTTTTCGAGGCTTCCCTGGACACAGTTGGTGTGGGATTGTCATTAATGCTGTCTTCAAGGAATCTACCAGATTCTCACTGAATGCACATCCACTGGTGGCGTCTACTCCCTTTGTTTGATTGCCTGCCTTGTGAAATCGGGCGTAATTCATCAATAAGGTTTAGGGCTTGTTTTTGATAATTAGTTAATAGCCAGAAATATCCAAAAGTCAGCCCTCAAGACCACATGGTGCAGGAGTATGACAGACAAAAAAAAAAAACTGTACACCCCACAAGCCTAGAAGGCACTGAAGATGCAGCCAATAGTCTTAGGAAATCCTAAGACATCCCACTGAGTTGCAAGACCAGCATAATTTTTTATCTCGTCAACAAACTTACTAGGGTGGGATATTACTTTTGACATTAATTTTTGCTAGGTGCCTTCTCTTATCTTCCTCTCCACTCTTTCCCATTTTTAATTTTGTTTGAAAACACTACACAGGCAGCAGCAACAGCAATTGTCTCCTGCTCCCTCAATGAATGACAATGCTTTTTACATATCTTTTCTTACATTTGCTTATTGTTATGCTGAAAATACTGTACAGCATTTAGTGCCTGTGGGTAGGTAATGGTTAAGGCTAATGTGTGCCCAGGTTTAATAGTAGGAAGAGAATTTGGTGGAGTAAGTTAATCTGAGCCTCAGCCCTGAAAACAGGCAAAATTGCTTGCCACCCCTCAACATATATAACTTTAAATCTCTACCAAACACAAGCTCTCCTCTCATGCATAAAGCAAATATACAAAATATCAATGCATTTAATAAAAACTGAGAAACTTAATATAATTCACCCTTAATAAAACTGTACAGTAATTTTCAAATCTATAGGTCTTCACCAATCTCTACCAAACATTAGCTGTCCACACATGCATAAAATGAACATAAACTATCAGCGCATTTGGTAAAAGCCAAGAAAAAGTATATGTAGTATACCCTAGATGTAACAGATCCTGATAAAATAGACTTTTAAAATTATGGTCAAAACCCACTGATTTAAGTGTGCTTTTAACTCTCATTTTCAATGTTTATTGCAGTATATATGTAAATTGTGTGTACAGTACTATATATAAAGTGAACAATAGAGTAACTTAGTACTTTAATGGACACTTGGACAGTCCCCTACTAGTCCATTATAGCTAATAGTTATAATTCAGCCTGAACAGTCTTAATTTTTTTTTTACCTACACTTCTTGACTAATCTTATCAAACAAACATGAACTCTCCATGTCTAAAATGAACATATACATAGTATGAATTCCTTTGATAAGTTTTTTTTTTTTTTTAACCTTTAAACTGTCCAGATGTAGATCTACGTTCATGTGTGTACCACTCCGAATGTAGATATACTTTTTTTTTTACGTGCTTTCAAATAGAGAAAATAAATGTCTGAGAGCTACACACGTAAACATAGATCTACATTTGGACAGTTTAAGGGTTAAATAAAGTTGACCCTTGAACAAAATTTTTTGGAGATTTGCAACTGAAAAATTAAAAGTTATATTTTACAGTATCTACATAGTAATGTAGATACTAGTCTATTTTAGTCATTTGCTACATAAAATATACACAAATCTATTACATAATTAAAATTTATCAAAACTTACGCACACAATTACAGATCATACAGGCTCCGTTTGCAATCGAGAGAAATGTAAACAAACTTAAAAAAGCAATATAATATACTGTTATTACAGATCGTAGTGTTCCACTCACAGTCAAGAGAAATGTAAATAAACATAAAGGTGCAATACTAAAATATAAATAAATATGAATTTCTTATTTACATTGTTTTTCATTTTTGATGTCTAGTGTTGTACAAGACAATGTTGATATAGGTACTGTCAGATGATTCGTCTTGTAAACAGACAATAAACTTAAGGTACTGATTAATACAGTACAGTACTGTAAATGAATTTTCTCTTCCTTATGACTTTATTAATAACATTCTTTTCTCTAGTTTACTTTATTGTAAGAATACGGTATGCAATACATATACAAAATGTGTGTTAACCGGCAGTTTATATTATTGGTAAGGCTTCCAGCCAGCAGTAGGCTATTAGTAGTTAACTTCTGACTCCCCAAAAGTTATGTGCAGATTTTCGACTGCACGGGGGGGGTCTGTGCCCCTAATCCCTGCACTATTCAAGGAAATACAGTAATTTCTTTTCTAAATACAATGCTTGTATCTTTAAATCAACCTTCATAAGTAATTAATTGATTAAAGGGCCATGATCATCAGTGCTAATGACTGTAGGTCAGATGATCATAAGTTAGGCATCTACTGTAATGTCTGCATCACGCTAGGTTAAAATATATTAAAATTATCTGTAATACAGTATAAAAAAATGAGATTTTGCATTAGACATTTTGGTATAAATTACCTTTTAATCTATTCAATTACAGTAGATCGTAGGATAACACACCCTCTGACAGTAGTAATTCACCAACAGGAGATAAAACAACTGAATTCATGTATGCATACTGTTTTTTTGTATTTCAAGGAATGTAATCCTATTTTTACCATATGTTCTTCACTTTGGTTAATGCCAATTTGAAAAATGTGCCAATTTTCAGGACTGTAACCCACATGTTATTTGAGAGACTACTGTATTGTACAAAGTTTGGAAGTGAGTGCAGTGTACTTTTTACTTGTATTACAATGCCGTTATATACATATGCCCACAACTAAGTACAGAAAGCACACTTAAATATAATAGCAATAATAATTTAGTGATGTTGCTGTAATGAACTGATACACTATGGGATATTTTTATCTATCTAAATTCAACCTTAAACAAAGTATACAAATTAGTGGTAGAAACTTCATCATGATTATTATGACATTATTCAACAGAACAAAATATGAGAGATAAAATGACTACAGCATAATACATTAACTATGATAAATAAGTTGTGCTTTTAAGACAGAGCAAGCAATCTTAGCTTATAAAGTAACTATCATTTTGCCAAACAAGCAGTGCGCAATTTTATTGTTGAAAAAATGTAAATGTAACGAGTTTCAATAATGTTAAATAACACAAAAATTAGCTTGAATTATGTTTTGATTGCATTCAATCTCTAAATTTTGAAAAGATTACTTTAAGGGCAGTTTCATTTGTTTATGCAACTCTGCCTAAAGAAGAAAAAAAAGCACAACATACAGTGGGCTACTGTAGATTTTAGAAACAAACATAAATTAGTTAGCATATGGCTATAATTTCTCACAAGAATGAATCGATATAAATGGAATATATAATTCATATTAATCTTTCCCAGACATTATTATTGTAAATGAGAGAACTTTATTATCTAATTCTTGAGAACATTTTAGAAAATAGTTTTTATTTTTATATCACAGGATGAATTTTTCAGCATGTTAAGAAAATGTATCATGTGGCAGGTATATGTAAAAATTCATGTAATAAAAGCACAGAGAAAATAAAAATTACATAATACTTTAACAGTATCTTTCTGAAATACTGATATACCTTGTATATTATTCTAAAATTAAATAAATTAAAAAATTTATTTCATGACAAAAATCATTTTTGCCATCTAAAAATTTTGTAGGCCGAATTGTGTTCAAGATTATGAGTAATTACAGACAGTAACACTTATGTGATGGAAATGCTTTAGAAAACCATCAACTTCAAAAATGAGACACTTGTGCAACATTTGGGAATCTTCATTGAGGAAATGGCCGTCTCATTCTTGAGTAACATACGTGCAATGAAATAAAAAGTGCTTATCGCATTTTTCACCAAACTTGGTTACTTAATATTTTTTTTTAAGACTATGACATTTACCTGCAGCAAGACCCCTTCAAGACTGAATCTACCGAGTGCCACTGAAACCCAACATGACTTTGTGGTTATGCCTCAGGTTATGGTCCTCGTCCTTCATCACATCACACTGTATAGCTGAATCTATGGGGAAAAGGAAAATTTAATTACCAGATGTCATCAAATGAAAACGTGAACCCAGCTGTCAAGAAATCTTGAAGAAATGGAAGCTGGAAAAAGCTGTAATGGTTTGTGAATAATGATGTAGATGGCTGTGGGAGATGAACAAATATTCAAGCATGCAATCCTTTGCCTTTTGTGAATTATTTGTCAAAATGATAATTACAAAATCTGCGCAAAATATTAAACTGTACTTTATGGAAATAATTCTGAGTTACTGTAGTGGCAAGAATTTCAATTCAATAGTCTAGGTTAATTATAATGCTCAGTGCAAGGTTGCTTTTGACATTATTCTGTAAAGACAATTCAAACAATTACACAAAAGGCAAAATACTGCTTATTATCACATTGCTATAAAAATGCATTTCAAACATCTTTTATAATTTATAATACCAATATATAAAAATAAAGCACACTGCACCTTTACAAATGGGAGTTCAAATTTAACCTAACAATACACTTACCTTCTCATAGTATTTTGATGGTTAATGTACCTGAAAAGAAACTGGGGATGGAGTGTCTGATTCTTAAAATTTATGGAATAAATGTTGCTTCTGCTAATATCCTGGGGAATAACTTTCAATGTGATCATGTAAGAGCCACTACCAAAGTTATTATCTTCAGGGAGCTAGTATGAAAACTGCATTTTACTGAATGCTTAGAAAAGTTCAGCATTATCAGTGTGGTTGAATTTTTAGTTAAATTCATATGAAAAAATGCATCGATTTTATTTCACTTTTTTAATTTTAATCAAAGTGAATTTCATCTTTATATATACGTAGTTTTATAGAGTTGCAGTACGATTCAAGACAAATACCAGAGTAAAAATAATGGAATGGTCTCGGGTCATACCTACTACACGTGTATGAATTACAAAATTATATCAGGATAAATTATTATATTCACCATGAATACTTGCCTCGACTGAAGATATATATATATATATTTATTATATACTATGTATGCCTATCACCTGAGGTAGGGTGACCTGAAAAAGAAACATTTTCACTATCATTCACTCCATCAGTCTTGCCAAAGGTGCATAGATACTGCAGTTCAGATGCCCTTGCAAACTGCAAACATCCCCATCCCTCCTTTAGAGCACAGACACTGTACTTTCCACCTCCAGGACTCGAGTCTGGCCAACTGTTTTCCCTGAATCCCTTTAAAAAAATGTTACCTTTCTCAAACTCCAACAGCTTGTCACGTCCCTAAAAACTACTTGCCTCCATTCCTATCATGCTCGCACATGCCTGATGGATGTCCAAGCCCCTTGCATGCAAAACCTCTTTTACCCCTTCCCTCCCTCCATACTTTCCAAAGGTGACCCCTATCCTGCCTTCCCCCCACCACAGCTTTACACACCCTCCAAGTCATCCTCTATTTTGCTCTATCCTCTCTAAATGTCCAAACCACTTCACCAAGCCCTCTTTAACACTCTGGATAATACTTTTAGTAACTCTGCACCTCTTAATTTCCAAACTACGAATTCTCTGCATAATGTTTACACCACACATTACCCTCAGAAACGACATCTCCACTGCCTCCAACCTCTTCACTGCAACATTAACAACCCAAGCTTCACATCCATGCAAGAGTGCTGGTACTATTATAATCTCATATATTTCCCTCTTTGCCAACATGGATAATGTTCTTTGTCTCCAGACTCCTCAGTACACCATTTACCTTTTTCCCTTCATTAATTCTAAGGTTCACCTCGTCCTTCATTTACCCATCCTCTGACAAGTCCACTCCCAAATATCTGAACACATTCACTTCCTCCAATTTGTCATTACCTAATTTATTTGTTACCCCCTCATCATCTGCTGTTTCCTACGTTCACTTTCAACTTCCTTTACACACCCTACAAAATTTGTCCACTAACCTTTGCAACTTCTCTTCGGAATCTCCAAAATGCATAGTGTCATCAGCAAAAAAAAGGTAACTGTGACAACTCCCATTTTTGTATTAGATTCCTCATTTTTAATCTTAGTCTTCTCCCCAACATCCTAGCATTCGCTTCTTTTACAACCCCATCTATAAATGTTACACAACCATGGTGACATCACTCATCCCTAAGGACTACTTTCACTGGAAAGTAATCTCCCTCTCTCCTACATACCTTAACCTGAACCTCACTATCCTCATAAAAGCTCTTAATAGCATTCAGTAACCTGTCACCTATACCATACACTTGCAACATCTGCCACATTGCTACTCTATCCACCCTATCATGCCTTTTCTAAATTCATGAAACCAACCAACGCTTCCCTATCTTTATGTAAATATTGTTCCCTTATATGCTTCAATGTATACACTTGATCTACACATCCCCTACCCTCTCTAAAGCTTCCTTGTTCATCTACAATCCTACCCTCCATTTTACCCTTAATTCTTTCTATAATAACCCTACCATATACTTAACCTGGTATACTTGATAGGTTTATTCTCCCTATAATTTTAATGCTATTTTATCCCTCTTCCCTTTATACAAAGGAACTATGCCTACTCTCAGCCAGTCCCTGGGCACCTTCCCCTCTTTCATGCATTTACTTGAACGAAACTACAAACTACTCCAAAACTATATCTCCTGCTTTTAACATTTCTCTCATGATCTATAAATCCCTTCTGTTTTACCCTCTTTCATTTTACCTACTGACTCATGCACCTCCCCACACTTGCATCTGACTCTGCCTCACTCCTAAAGGATATTACATCTCCCTGGCCAATGCATCAACATTTATCAGTTCTTCAAAATATTCCTGCCATCCTCACAGTACCTCCAACTCCCCTCTACTGACTCCCCTCTTTTGTTTTAACTGTCAAATCCATTCATTCCCTTGGCTTTCCTCAACCTCTTAATCTCAAAAACTTTCTTATTCTCAGCAAAATTTGCTAACACCACCCTCTCTCATATACTTTCCTTTTATACTCTCACCAATCTTAACCTTTCTTATACTCTCCTTATACTCCACCTTGTATCACTTCTGCTTTATAAAAACCTCTCATGTGCAAACCTTTTCTCCCTTACTGCTCCTTTTACCTCATCATTCCACCAATTGCTTTTCTTCCCTCTTGCACAAATCCTATATCCACGAACTTGTGCCACACATTCTAACACTATTTTTAAAACTATCCTTCACCTCTTGAACCCCCTCATTACCTATACTTTCATTAGCCTATCTTTCTACCAATAGTCGCTTATATCTTACCCTAACTACCTCCTTTTATTTAAATCTTTTTAACCTTATTTGCTGATGAAAGGAAGATGAACATTTTTTAACACGTCAGCCACTTCCTACCGAAGCAGGGTGACCCAAAAAAAAAGAAAAAAAAAAAAAACTTTCATAATCATTCAACACTTTCACCTGCCCATAATGCTATGCATACAAGTGGCTTTGGCATGCTGCTCTTACCTGTATTTTTTTGTACCTCTGTATGTTCAAATTATTAAATAAATAAATAAAATCATTCATACATAATCACTGTCTTTGAAGAGGCGCTCGGATATGACAGCTTAGACGTCCCTCCAAATTGCCAATATCCCAAACCCCTCCTTTAAAGTGCAGACATTGTACTTCCCATTTCCAGGACTCAAGTCTGGCTAACTGGTTTCCCTGACTCTTCACAAAATATTACCCTGCTGGCACTCCAACTCGTCAGGCCCCAAAAACCATTCGTCTACATTCACTCCTATCTAACACACTCGTGCATGCTTGCTGAAAGTCCAAGCCCTTCGTCCACAAAACCTCCTTTACCTCCTCCCTCCTTTTTGGGGATGACCCCTACCTGCCTTCCTTCCCCTACAGATTTATAAGCTCTCCAAGTCATTCTACTTTGTTCCAATCTCTTTAAATGACCAAACCACAGCCCCTCTTCAGCCCTCTGACTAATACTTTTATTAACTCAAAACCACCACCTAATTTCCCCACTACGAATTCTCTGCATAATATTTACACCACACACTGCTCTTAGACAGGATATCTCCACTGCCTCCAACCACCTCCTCAATGCAGCATTTACAGCCCAAGCTTCACACCCACCGGGCCACCAGGCCCAGTGGCCTGGTGGCTAAAGCTCCCGCTTCACACACGGAGGGCCCGGGTTTGATTCCCAGCGGGTGGAAACATTTCGACACGTTTCCTTACACCTGTTGTCCTGTTCACCTAGCAGCAAATAGGTACCTGGGTGTTAGTTGACTGGTGTGGGTCGCATCCTGGGGGACGAAGATTAAGGACCCCAATGGAAATAAGTTACAGTCCTCAATGACGCACTGACTTTCTTGGGTTATCCTGGGTGGCTAACCCTCCGGGGTTAAAAATCCAAACGAAATCTTATCTTATCTTACCTCAACAAACCACTCGCCTTTTTTCCTTCATTAATTCCATGGTTTACTGTATATATAGGTACACACACATACAGTGCCTGCACTCTGAAGGGGTGGGAATATTTGCAGTTTTGAACTGTAGTATCAGTGCCCCCCTGGCAAAACAGCGATGGAGTGAGTGATGGTTAAAGTTTTTTTTGTGTGGGGGGGGGGGCACCCTGCCTCAGTATGGGGAAAAAAATATATATTTACTGTGATTTTACTTGCTTTAACAATATACAATATATTAAGTAGATATGGCCTTAAGTTTGCTTAATGGTAAATACTAAAAAATGGAAACATTATAAAAGATCATATTTTTCTTAACTGTTCTTATGAACTTTTATATAAATGTTCACATATTTTTTTCTGTTTTAATTGTTGTATGTTCCATTTTAAAGTCATTACCATGTAAAATTAATATGAGATGATAAAATGGGTGATATCTTGCCACTGGCGAGGCCTTGGGGAGTAGCGTCATGACTGGGCACTACGCACTTCACTTTCTGAAACACATGGAAAAATATACTCACTGTTACTAAGGGGATACAAAAACTTAATCAATATTTTAATGGCTGGCTGTGCATCAGGGATATACATTTAATCATTAAATACTGCACGTGGGAAAAACGATAATTTACAACTAAGGTATTTATTCATTGCGCTTTCATCCACACCTATATACTGAGAAGAAACAATAGTACTGCACACTGAAAGGGCTTAACATTTTCCCATGAAAATAAGCTAAAGTACTTGAATTGTATATTTACTATAAACCTATACTTGTGCATAAAAATGTATATTATTGATGCACTGCTGCCAAGGTTTAAAAGAGTAAGGTACTGTACAGAGAAACCAATGGAAAAAATTAAGGTAATTGATGAGATGCTGTCATCAACAGAAGCTTAACAATGTAAATAGGTGAATGATAAATTTGTGGCTCTTACTATTTCATGAAGATATTCTTTGACAACATCCTTTTCGTTTTCCCAGCTACAACATGCAATATATTTTCACACAGCATTATGAGCAATGCTCATCCCGAATTTAAAGTTCAAAATTTTCATTCTAGTTTCAAGTCTCTTGAAACTACCTTGCCTAATTACAAATTATATAAAAACCTTTGATTCGGTTAAAGCAATTTTCATTGGACATAATCCACAGCTCTCCTTCAGTCAGTAAATTTCAAGACCTGAAAAATGTTGATGCAATGGAATTAAGGTACTATAAAATTGGTAGCTGTTAGCATGTGCTAAGTACTGTATTTAATGTTATTTCTTCCTCCGTAAGCCATGCGCGTCATAACAGGCAACTAAAATGCCAGGAGCAAGGAGCTAGTAACCCCTTCTCCTGTATGCATTACTAAATTTAAAGTGAGAAGCTTTTGGCTTTTTTTTTTTTGGTCACCCTGCCTTGGTAAGATATAGCCAGTTTGTTGAAAAAAAAAATAATAATGTTATCAGAGTAAACAAAATCCTTGATATAACAGACCACGATTTAACAGCTGTTAAAATAATGATTAAATTGAGCTTTTAACTCCTTTATTTTTCAATTTCTGTTTTTTTTTACAGATATGTATAATTTTGGTGTACGCTTATGCATTTAGTTCAACTTACCACACAGACCCATTCTCTCATATCTAGGCCCATATTTACCACTCATGGCTTATCTAAGAGAGCTGAGCTCATCATGTAGAACAATGGGACCGACCCAGGCTTCAAAGCCATAGTACAATGAAACCCACTTCAAAACGGTTAAAAACTAAGCAACATAGTGTTAGTATGGTGAATCGATTATTTTTTTAGGAAGATTCTATGGCTAATTTGGGTTTTGAGCTTGTCAAGAGAATGTCAGTAATTTTAACTACTACTGCTGACCATAAGAGAAATCAGATTCCAGGAGTTGACACAGGCAGTTACCACAAGGTCTGATATAAGCTTTATTAAATTTGTATAGGCTAAAAAAGTACATTAAACAAATATAAACTTACAGGAAAACAGCAAGACTTACTTGGCTCTTAAGCTATCATATTTGGAGAAAGCCTCATCTATGTCAACATAGCAACCCTGCAGATGTCTGTGGGAAGGGAAAAAATGAGGTACAGTAGAGTACTGATAAACTAACTACATTACAGCAAGAAGGTGAGGGCAGTTTATTGTTCTGTATATGCAGCAGGCACAATAACATGAGTGTATGTCTCGTATATTTAGTAGGTTCAGGTTTTTGAACAGTGGTGGGGTGAGCTCAAGTGCCAGACAGCATACTCCACCATTTTCAAAAGCCTGAACCTACTAATTATATGTGAGACACTCATATTATTGTGCCTACTACACATTGAACATTAAAATGGTATAAAATACCGACAGGTTGTTAGGTAAGACACATATGCAACAGTTAGGTATCTTTATTTCGAAACGTTTCGCCTACACAGTAGGCTTCTTCAGTCGAGTACAGAAAAGTTGATAGAAGCAGAAGATACTTGAAGACGATGTAATCAGTCCATCACCCTTAAATTTTTGAGGTGGTCAGTCCCTCAGTCTGGAGAAGAGCATTGTTCCATAGAATGAAACAATATTGTTTCATTCTATGGAACAATGCTCTTCTCCAGACTGAGGGACTGACCACCTCAAAACTTTAAGGGTGATGGACTGATTACATCGTCTTCAAGTATCTTCTGCTTCTATCAACTTTTCTGTACTCGACTGAAGAAGCCTACTGTGTAGGCGAAACGTTTCGAAATAAAGATACCTAACTGTTGCATATGTGTCTTACCTAACAGCCTACTACACATACAGAACAGGGTAATATTTAGTGAAGGGATTCAGGGAAACTGGTTATTTTATATAACCAGACTCGAGTCCTGGAAATGGGAAGTACAATGCCTGCACTCTAAAGGAGGGGTTTGGGATATTGGCAGTTTGGAGGGATATATTGTGTATTTTTATACATATATACTTCTAAGCTGTTGTATTCTGGGCACCTCTGCAAAAACAGTGATTATGTGTGAGTGATTATGTGTGTGTGTGTGTGAGAGAGAGAGAGACTCAGCAATCAACATTTGCACCAATAACTCACTACAGTTGTGACCGGGTGTGGAAGTGTGAATTGCTCATTACTCTAAAATTTGTTCATGATTGCAGCCATGTATAAACGTAAGTAACCATTCTTACAGTATTCATTACCTTTGTAACTTGTGAGTTCATTACCTTGTACCTAGTTCAGCCATCAAAACTTTGGAGCCCGGTCCCTGGACCCATTGTGTACCTCTGTAATCTGTAAATACCTTTGTAACTTGTAATGATTGTGACTAGACCTACCTGGAGTTCATTACCTTTGTAAATTGTGAGTTCATTACCTTTGTAAATTGTGAGTTCATTGCCTCTGTAGCTTGCTCAGCTATCAAAACTTTGAGGCCCAGTCCCTGGACCCATTATGTACCTCTGTAATCTTTTGACTACCGCCCACAGGATGGGTATGGGGTGCATAATAAACATATTAAACTAAAAAACTGTGTGAGTGAGGTGAAAGTGTTGAATGATGAAATTATTTTCTTTTACTTTGGGTCAGCCTGCCTCAGTGGGAGACGGCAGACTTGTTGAAAAAAAAAAATAAAAAAATAAACCCCCCACTTAAACTTCTCCTTGATAGCTACAACTGAATGCACAGTCACAATACAAGGCATAAGGCACTCTTTGACATCCCTTGTGTCAGTCTCACACTATGTAAAAATGCAATGCACATGAAGGGCCCGAAGATCTGGAATTCACTACCTGAACCAGTAAAGAATCCCCTGACTACATGTAAATTTAGGACTATGCTTAAAAATCATCTTATCTCTCAATACAGTGGACCCCCGGTTAACGATATTTTTTCACTCCAGAAGTATGTTCAGGTGCCAGTACTGACCGAATTTGTTCCCATATGAATATTGTGAAGTAGATTAGTCCATTTCAGACCCCCAAACATACATGTACAAACGCACTTTCATAAATACACTTACATAATTGGTCGCATTCGGAGGTGATCGTTATGCGGGGGTCCACTGTACTAACCAAACTAACCAACTTCTAAACAGTTTCAAGCAACTCTCCCAAATATTATATTAAACATCTGCCAATCCATGAAATATTACTGTCTGAACCATTAATTGTAATGCTGTTTTTATTATGTGCAACTTCAAGATTATTATTCTTATAAACTTGACTATCTTGCATTAGTACATTTATTTTTTTTTTTTTTAACAAGTCGGCCGTCTCCCACCGAGGCAGGGTGACCCAAAAAAGAAAGAAAATCCCCAAAAAGAAAATACTTTCATCATTCAACACTTTCACCACTGTTTTTGCAGAGGTGCTCAGAAACGCAACAGCTTAGAAGCATATACCTATAAAGATACACAACATATCCCTCCAAACTGCTAATATCCCGAACTCTCCTTAGAGTGCAGGCATTGTACTTCCCATTTCCAGGACTCGAGTCCGGCTATATAAAAATAGTAACCGGTTTCCCTGAATCCCTTCACTAAATATTACCCTGCTCACACTCCAACAGATCATCAGGTCCCAAATACCATTCGTCTCCATTCACTCCTATCTAACATGCTCACACACGCTTGCTGGAAGTACATGTATTAAGATTAAATAAAGATTTATTAAAAAGTTAACCACTCTAATCTCGTCTAGATTTTAGTAGTTATTATGCACGTATTAGGATTAGTTTGCCCAAAATGTCCTGGTATGATAGTGGCTTTCTTTATACTTAAACTAAAATTGTAATTACACATTGTAACCTTAACAAAAAAAATAAAATCTTCATTCAAGCACCAAAAACACTGGACACAGAGACCACGAACAGACCAAGATATATAAAAAAAATGCTACACAAAGATTTTCATAGGATTAACAGAGTTCATGTAGCTGTTTCACATTATTTGTCCCTTTCTCAGTAAGAATTTTCTGTCATACATTACCATAGCTAAGTGTATCTGTACATTAAATTTACAGGTTATGAGCCGTTATCATACCTAGAGATATCTCTCTACAGTTATCCAGTAGGAAATCTGGGCTAGAAGTTGTAAAATACATAATAGTGTTACTGGATAATACAATTAAAGCAAAATACAAATTCCCACCTGTCAACCTTGGTAACATCAAAGGCAGTGCGACCATGAAGAACACGTCGATTGTTGAAGGCTACCAGATCACCAGGTACCATGTTGAACTCCAGACATGTAGCTGGGTCACGAAGTTTATCTGAGAACAACTGAAGGAAACCTTGCATTATTACCTTATTCTTCCATACCAAATCAAGCAATGCCATATTACAATTGAAATAGGAGTATACATACAGTAATTTACTGTATGACAAAGTGTTCATTGCTATTTCAATTTATTTTCCAATCTTGTTTAACCCTCTGAATGAGCATCACAACTTCAAATAATAGTAATAGAAATAATAATTTTTTTTTTTTTAAACAAGTCGGCTGTCTCCCACCAAGGCAGGGTGACCCAAAAAAGAAAAAATCCCCAAAAAGAAAATACTTTCATCATTCAACACTTTCACCACACTCACACACAATCACTGTTTTTGCAGAGGTGCTCAGAACACAACAGCTTAGAAGCATATACACCTACCATCTGACTTACGACCTGCTCGAATTACGACCGTGTTTTTTATGCCAAATTTCTGGGAAATAAACAACTATTTGTGTTGTACACAGTGTTTATCCTAAACCTTACAGTATAAAATACAGTACTAACAACATAAAAAGTAAAGTAAAACATGAAATACCAAAATAAAACAATAAAATAGTCATTGCAAAAATATTTTGTTGATATTCAGTAGTAAAGTTCGACTTACAACCATTTCGACTTACAACCGGTTTCTCGGAACCGAACTCAGTTGTAAGTCGGATGGTAGGTGTACCTATAAAGATACACAACACATCCTTTCAAATTGCCAATATCCCGAACCCCTCCTTTAGAGAGCAGGCATTGTACTTCCCATTTCCAGGACTCGAGTCCGGCTATATATAGAAATAATACAGTAATTTATTTCCCATCAAACTGGGAATATCCCACCAAGGCAGGGTGACCTAAAAAAGGAAAAAGATTTTCTTTTAAATTTAGTAATTTATACAAAAGGGGATTACTAGCCCCTTGCTCCTGGCATTTTAGTTGCCTCTTAAAACATGCATGCCTTAGAGAAAAAATTCTTATCCACTTTCCCATGGAGAATAATACAGTAATATTATAATAATACCACTAATAATAATACAAAGATGGGATATGTTTGTTTACTCCCTACTTCTAGAAGTCCGTAATCATGCAAAACATTTTGGATGGATGTAAACCACAAGCAAAATATTTCAGAAACTGTACCACATATAAATTTTGGCATTTAAGGTAAAGAGTGTAAGGAACTTTGCACACATTAAATATGTGCAGCCTCTTCTTACTTAGAGACGTACTCATTTACTGACCCCTCGAACTTATGACCAGTTCTCCAACCACGTTAAGAGACCATACAATAAGTGTCAGGGGCCCGAGACTGTTCAACTGCCTCCCAGCACACATAAGGGGGATTACCAACAGACCCCTGGCAGTCTTCAAGCTGGCACTGGACAAGCACCTAAAGTCAGTTCCTGATCAGCCGGGCTGTGGCTCGTACATTGGTTTGCGTGCAGCCAGCAGCAACAGCCTGGTTGATCAGGCTCTGATCCACCAGGAGGCCTGGTCACAGACCGGGCCGCGGGGGCGTTGACCCCCGGAACTCTCTCCAGGTAAACTCCAGTATGCAAACCTAATTAATGTATATTAGAGCTGATTTCCTCTATTCTGTTTATTACAGTATACAGTAAACTACTGTATAAACATTTAAAAATATACTAAACATGTTATAAATGGTGCAAAGGTGACATTAAAAAAATCTAAAGATGGTTGACAAACCAGTACAGTATGCGCCTTGCTTAATGACTAATTCCCTTACTGACCTACTCTTAGGAACAGAACCCCATCATTATGTGAGGAGAGGCTGTACCTTAACCCTTTCAGGGTCCGTGCCGTAGATCTACGGCATGAGCTCAGCTCACTCTGATAAGCTGCGAGCGGTAAATTTGGGCCTAGATTTGAGAGAATACATCTATGTGGCATGTGTGGACCACATAAAACAAATCCTGCAGCACACAGTGCATAACGAGAGAAAAAAACAGATCGTAATTTTTTATTAAAACAGCGACTTGCAGTGTATTTTCGTATGTTTTTTTATAGTTGCATTTGGAATTTCTTGATCTCATTTGATAGAATGGAAGATACATTACAGAACTAGAGATGATTTTGATTGGTTTTAATACTGGAAATGGCTTGAAACTGAGCTCAAAGTAGCAGAAATGTTAAATTTTTGCAGATGTTCAAGAGTAAACAAATGACCTCACACATCTAATACACGCCAGCCGGTGGGTCTAATATACATTCACAAATGTGGTGACAGTATTTATACAATTATTACAATATTGCATAACAGTAAATCTTTATATTTTAGTTTGAATAAAAATTCATTATTTATTTTTTTATTTTATTATCACACTGGCCGATTCCCACCAAGGCAGGGTGGCCCGAAAAAGAAAAACTTTCACCATCATTCACTCCATCACTGTCTTGCCAGAAGGGTGCTTTACACTACAGTTTTTAAACTGCAACCCCTTCATAAATGTTACTTTGCTCACACTCCAACAGCACGTCAAGTATTAAAAACCATTTGTCTCCATTCACTCCTATCAAACACGCTCACTCATGCCTGCTGGAATTCCAAGCCCCTCGCACACAAAACCTCCTTTACCCCCTCCCTCCAACCTTTCCTAGGCCGACCCCTACCCCGCCTTCCTTCCACTACAGACTGATACACTCTTGAAGTCACTCTTTTGCTCCATTCTCTCTACATGTCTGAACCACCTCAACAACCCTTCCTCAGCCCTCGGGACAACAGTTTTGGTAATCCCGCACCTCCTCCTAACTTCCAAACTATGAATTCTCTGCATTATATTCACACCACACATTACCCTCAGACATGACATCTCCACTGCCTCCAGCCTTCTCCTCGCTGCAACATTCATCACCCATGCTTCACACCCATATAAGAGTGTTGGTAAAACTATACTCTCATACATTGCCTCCAAGGACAAAGTTCTTTGTCTCCACAGACTCTTAAGTGCACCACTCACCCTTTTCCCCTCATCAATTCTATGATTCACCTCATCTTTCATAGACCCATCCGCTGACACGTCCACTCCCAAATATCTGAATACATTCACCTCCTCCATACTCTCTCCCTCCAATCTGATATCCAATCTTTCATCACCTAATTTTTTTGTTATCCTCATAACCTTACTCTTTCCTGTATTCACTTTCAATTTTCTTCTTTTGCACACCCTACCAAATTCATCCACCAATCTCTGCAACTTCTCTTCAGAATCTCCCAAGAGCACGGTGTCATCAGCAAAGAGCAACTGTGACAACTCCCACTTTATGTGTGATTCTTTATCTTTTAACTCCATGCCTCTTGACAAGACCCTCGCATTTACTTCTCTTACAACCCCATCTATAAATATATTAAACAACCACGGTGACATCACACATCCTTGTCTAAGGCCTACTTTTACTGGGAAATAATTTCCCTCTTTCCTACATACTCTAACTTGAGCCTCACTATCCTCGTAAAAACTCTTCACTGCTTTCAGTAACCTACCTCCTACACCTGCAACATCTGCCACATTGCCCCGTATCCACCCTGTCATACGCCTTTTCCAAATCCATAAATGCCACAAAGACCTCTTTAGCCTTATCTAAATACTGTTCACTTATATGTTTCACTGTAAACACCTGGTCCACACACCCCCTACCTTTCCTAAAGCCTCCTTGTTCATCTGCTATCCTATCTCTGTCTTACTCTTAATTCTTTCAATAATAACTACCATGCACTTTACCAGGTACACTCAACAGACTTCTCCTCCTATAATTTTTGCACTCTTTTGTCCCCTTTGCCTTTATACAAAGGAACTATGCATGCTCTCTGCCAATCCCTAGGTACCTTACCTTCTTCCATACATTTATTAAATAATTGCACCAACCACTCCAAAACTATATCCCCACCTGCTTTTAACATTTCTATCTTTATCCCATCAATCCCGGCTGCCTTACCCCCTTTCATTTTACCTACTGCCTCGCGAACTTCCCCCACACTCACAACTGGCTCTTCCTCACTCCTACAAGATGTTATTCCTCCTTGCCCTATACACGAAATCACAGCTTCCCTATCTTCATCAACATTTAACAATTCCTCAAAATATTCCCTCCATCTTCCCAATACCTCTAACTCTCCATTTAATAACTCTCCTCTCCTATTTTTAACTGACAAATCCATTTGTTCTCTAGGCTTCCTTAACTTGTTAATCTCACTCCAAAACTTTTTCTTATTTTCAACAAAATTTGTTGATAACATCTCACCCACTCTCTCATTTGCTCTCTTTTTACATTGCTTCACCACTCTCTTAACCTCTCTCTTTTTCTCCATGTACTCTTCCCTCCTTGCATCACTTCTACTTTGTAAAAACTTCTCATATGCTAACTTTTTCTCCCTTACTACTCTCTTTACATCATCATTCCACCAATCGCTCCTCTTCCCTCCCGCACCCACTTTCCTGTAACCACAAACTTCTGCTGAACACTAACACTACATTTTTAAACCTACCCCATACCTCTTCGACCCCATTGCCTATGCTCTCATTAGCCCATCTATCCTCCAATAGCTGTTTATATCTTACCCTAACTGCCTCCTCTTTTAGTTTATAAACCTTCACCTCTCTCTTCCCTGATGCTTCTATTCTCCTTGTATCCCATCTACCTTTTACTCTCAGTGTAGCTACAACTAGAAAGTGATCTGATATATCTGTGGCCCCTCTATAAACAAGTACATCTTGAAGTCTACTCAACAGTCTTTTATCTACCAATACATAATCCAACAAACTACTGTCATTTTGCCCTACATCATATCTTGTATACTTATTTATCCTCTTTTTCTTAAAATATGTATTACCTAAAACTAAACCCCTTTCTATACAAAGTTCAATCAAAGGGCTCCCATTATCATTTACACCTGGCACCCCAAACTTACCTACCACACCCTCTCTAAAAGTTTCTCCTACTTTAGCATGCAGGTCCCCTACCACAATTACTCTCTCACGTGGTTCAAAGGCTCCTATACATTCACATAACATCTCCCAAAATCTCTCTCTCTCTCCTCTACATTCCTCTCTTCTCCAGGTGCATACACGCTTATTATGACCCACTTTTCACATCCAACCTTTACTTTAATCCACATAATTCTTGAATTTACACATTCATATTCTCTTTTCTCCTTCCATAACTGATCCTTCAACATTACTGCTACCCCTTCCTTTGCTCTAACTCTCTCAGATACTCCAGATTTAATCCCATTTATTTCCCCCCACTGAAACTCCCCTACCCCCTTCAGCTTTGTTTCGCTTAGGGCCAGGACATCCAACTTCTTTTCATTCATAACATCAGCAATCATCTGTTTCTTGTCATCCGCACTACATCCATGCACATTCAAGCATCCCAGTTTTATAAAGTTTTTCTTCTTCTCTTTTTTAGTAAATGTCTACAGGAGAAGGGGTTACTAGCCCATTGCTCCCGGCATTTTAGTCGCCTCATATGACACGCATGGCTTACGGAGGAAAGATTCTTTTCCACTTCCCGATGGACAATAGAAGAAATAAAGAAGAACAAGAGCTATTTAGAAAAAGGAGAAAAACCTAGATGTATGTATATATATATATATATATGCATGTGCATGTCTGTGAAGTGTGACCAAAGTGTAAGTAGGAGTAGCAAGATATCCCTGTTATCTAGCGTGCTTATGAGACAGAAAAAGAAACCAGCGAATAAAAAATCAAAATGGAATTCATTTGTAAAGCCTCAAAACGTAACTAATGAACAGAGGAAATGTTAGTTTAGTGCCAGGAATGCCTGCATTGTTTATTCTGGACCCTATTTTGAAATTGGAATATTCTGAACTTTGCATTAAATTGGCTAAATTACCAATTTCCGATCACTTTATTTTGTAGTTGAAACAGTTGACTTGGTGATTTCTTGTGCTCAGTCGATAGAACAGACGTAATCCTAGTGAAATAGCTAAGAATTTGGTCGACTGGAATAATGTATTTGGCCTAAAATGGGAGTCAAAGTTGGCAAAATCGCCGATACGTAAATATCGCTGACGCATCAAAATTCGCGAGAGCATAATTTCGTCAATTTTCCATCAAATTTCGTACTTTTTGTTTTATTACCTTCAGAAAAAGATTCTCTACCATTTCATAAGAAAAATAACAAAATTATTTTTTGAAAATTCTTGGACACTGGTGCACACTTTGAAATTTGGCTTCTGGACCCTGAAAGGGTTAAAAGGACACATTTTCCCCTACAGGATGATGCCCTCTCACCTTCAGGGTAGCATCCAGGATTTATAGCTAAATTTTTAATTACTGCACGTATATGTTTTCAGTATTTTCATTTTTTTTTTTTTTTTTTTTTTTTTGCATATTTTATGCAGAGAGTGGGAAGATTTATTTGGCTGAGAATAATAAAGCTAGGTTATTAGAATAGCCTTCAAGAGAATAACTGAATAATAACAATGCTCTATTTAAATGGAGGTATAAAAATGGAAAGAGAAATAAATGAAGAGAGGAAACATGAATGGATACATGGGGATAAGGAGGAGAGATGGTATGATAGACGTGGGAGGCCAGAAGTCAGGGAGGGAGAGAAGTCAGAAGAAGAGGATATGTACAAGGAAATTAGAATGAAGGGAAGAATATATATAGGTGCATGCAGGGAAGGGGTAAAGGCACTGAGGGAAGACAGATGGAGGAAGAGAATTGTTGTAAGAAGTACGTATTTCATAATTACACTAAGTGACGTAGGAGTAGCAATAGAGAAGGTGAAACGCTGCTACAGCAGCAGCAGGATGCCAGCCACACCACACCCTCACCTGATGAGATGCATGCCTGTCTTCCTGATCACACAATCAATCACTCTCCCACTCAGCCAAAACACCTACTGACCAGATACTTGTCAACTTGCCCATAAAAAAAAAAAAAAAAAAAAAATTGTCCCCTCCAAATATTCACCAAAGAAAACACACACACACACACACACACACACACACACACACACACACACACACACACACACACACACACACACATACCCGAACAGACGTCCAACTCACTCTCACAAACACATGAAGCAGTACTGTATTACCTGGAGTTTACCTGGAGAGAGTTCCGGGGGTCAACGCCCCCGCGGCCCGGTCTGAGACCAGGCCTCCTTGAACTGTTTAGTAAATGACAGATTAACAAAAAAAAAAATTGAAAGACCCCATATAACCAACATACCAAGCCAAAACAGCAAATTACCACTAAATTATTAGTAAAAGCTTTCTAAATCCCCAAGTAAGCCAAGTCTCTGAGGCATCAGAAGACATTAAACACAGGTAAAAGCTGTTCATCTTAAGCTACCATTCTAAACAAAATTCCCCTCCCTTTTATTTGAACATAGGAACAGTAATTAAATAATGTATAGTACCTTATATGCATGGTAGAATGGCGTGACGACATGGGTGGGCGCCTGAAGAGGTTTCATAGTGCGGTTGTTGTAATGCACCTCCGTCACATCCCCTTCACTATTTGTGCACAAGATTGGCCACAAAGCTGAATATTGCCGACCTTCATTCTTGATGGAAAATCTGAGTAAAAATTAAAATTTTGAAATAGTTCAGCAGCAATATAATCAATGTCTTTTTACTGATTTTACTATATTAAAATAAAAACAGATATACAGCGGTACCTCAGGATACGAAATTAATTAATTCCAAAAGGCTGTTCGAGTGCCAATACCAAATGAATTTGTTCCCATAAGGAATAATGAATTGAACCAAGTGAGAGAGTAATTGTGGTAGGGGACTTGAATGCTAAAGTAGGAGAAACTTTTAGAGAGGGTGTGGTAGGTAAGTTTGGGGTGCCAGGTGTAAATGATAATGGGAGCCCTTTGATTGAACTTTGTATAGAAAGGGGTTTAGTTATAGGTAATACATATTTTAAGAAAAAGAGGATAAATAAGTATACACGATATGATGTAGGGCGAAATGACAGTAGTTTGTTGGATTATGTATTGGTAGATAAAAGACTGTTGAGTAGACTTCAGGATGTACATGTTTATAGAGGGGCCACAGATATATCAGATCACTTTCTAGTTGTAGCTACACTGAGAGTAAAAGGTAGATGGGATGCAAGGAGAATAGAAGCATCAGGGAAGAGAGAGGTGAAGGTTTATAAACTAAAAGAGGAGGCAGTTAGGGTAAGATATAAACAGCTATTGGAGGATAGATGGGCTAATGAGAGCATAGGCAATGGGGTCGAAGAGGTATGGGGTAGGTTTAAAAATGTAGTGTTAGAGTGTTCAGCAGAAGTTTGTGGTTACAGGAAAGTGGGTGCAGGAGGGAAGAGGAGCGATTGGTGGAATGATGATGTAAAGAGAGTAGTAAGGGAGAAAAAGTTAGCATATGAGAAGTTTTTACAAAGTAGAAGTGATGCAAGGAGGGAAGAGTATATGGAGAAAAAGAGAGAGGTTAAGAGAGTGGTGAAGCAATGTAAAAAGAGAGCAAATGAGAGAGTGGGTGAGATGTTATCAACAAATTTTGTTGAAAATAAGAAAAAGTTTTGGAGTGAGATTAACAAGTTAAGAAAGCCTAGAGAACAAATGGATTTGTCAGTTAAAAATAGGAGAGGAGAGTTATTAAATGGAGAGTTAGAGGTATTTGGGAAGATGGAAGGAATATTTTGAGGAATTGTTAAATGTTGATGAAGATAGGGAAGCTGTGATTTCGTGTATAGGGCAAGGAGGAATAACACTTGTAGGAGTGAGGAAGAGCCAGTTGTGAGTGTGGGGGAAGTTCGTGAGGCAGTAGGTAAAATGAAAGGGGGTAAGGCAGCCGGGATTGATGGGATAAAGATAGAAATGTTAAAAGCAGGTGGGGATATAGTTTTGGAGTGGTTGGTGCAATTGTTTAATAAATGTATGGAAGGGGGTAAGGTACCTAGGGATTGGCAGAGAGCATGCATAGTTCCTTTGTATAAAGGGCAAAGGGATAAAAGAGAGTGCAAAAATTATAGGGGATAAGTCTGTTGAGTGTACCTGGTAAAGTGTAGGGTAGAGTTATAATTGAAAGAATTAAGAGTAAGACGGAGAATAGGATAGCAGATGAACAAGGAGGCTTTAGGAAAGGTAGGGGGTGTGTGGACCAGGTGTTTACAGTGAAACATATAAGTGAACAGTATTTAGATAAGGCTAAAGAGTCTTTGTGGCATTTATGGATTTGGAAAAGGCGTATGACAGGGTGGATAGGGGGGCAATGTGGCAGATGTTGCAAGTGTATGGTGTAGGGAGGTAGGTTACTGAAAGCAGTGAAGAGTTTTTACGAGGATAGTGAGGCTCAAGTTAGAGTATGTAGGAAAGAGGGAAATTTTTTCCCAGTAAAAGTAGGCCTTAGACAAGGATGTGTGATGTCACCGTGGTTGTTTAATATATTTATAGATGGGGTTGTAAGAGAAGTAAATGCGAGGGTCTTGGCAAAGGCGTGGAGTTAAAAGATAAAGAATCACACACAAAAGTGGGAGTTGTCACAGCTGCTCTTTGCTGATGACACTGTGCTCTTGGAGATTCTGAAGAGAAGTTGCAGAGATTGGGGGATGAATTTGGTAGGGTGTGCAAAAGAAGAAAATTAAAGGTGAATACAGGAAAGAGTAAGGTTATGAGGATAAAAAAAAAGATTAGGTGATGAAAGATTGAATATCAGATTGGAGGGAGAGAGTATGGAGGAGGTGAACAGTATTCAGATATTTGGGGTGGACGTGTCAGCGGATGGGTCTATGAAAGATGAGGTGAATCATAGAATTGATGAGGGAAAAAGAGTGAGTGGTGCACTTAGGAGTCTGTGGAGACAAAGAACTTTGTCCTTGGAGGCAAAGAGGGGAATGTATGAGAGTTTTAGTTTTAAACCCAAAGCTCTTATATTGGGTGTGAAGCGTGGGTGATGAATGTTGCAGCGAGGAGAAGGCTGGAGGCAGTGGAGATGTCATGTCTGAGGGCAATGTGTGGTGTGAATATAATGCAGAGAATTCGTAGTTGGAAGTTAGGAGGAGGTGCGGGATTACCAAAACTGTTGTCCAGAGGGCTGAGGAAGGGTTGTTGAGGTGGTTCGGACATGTAGAGAGAATGGAGCGAAACAGAATGACTTCAAGAGTGTATCAGTCTGTAGTGGAAGGAAGGCGGGGTAGGGGTCGGCCTAGGAAGGGTTGGAGGGAGGGGGTAAAGGAGGTTTTGTGTGCGAGGGGCTTGGACTTCCAGCAGGCATGCTTGAGCGTGTTTGATAGGAGTGAATGGAGACAAATGGTTTTTAATACTTGACGTGCTGTTGGAGTGTGAGCAAAGTAACATTTATGAAGGGATTCAGGGAAACCGGCAGGCCGGACTTGAGTCCTGGAGATGGGAAGTACAGTGCCTGCACTCTGAAGGAGGGGTGTTAATGTTGCAGTTTAAAAACTGTAGTGTAAAGCACCCTTCTGGCAAGACAGTGATGGAGTGAATGATGGTGAAAGTTTTTCTTTTTCGGGCCACCCTGCCTTGGTGGGAATCGGCCGGTGTGATAAAAAAAAAAAAAAAAAAAAAAGGAATAATGTAAATTAGATTAATCCATTTCAGACTTCCAAAAATGCACTTACAAAAGCACTTGCATAAATACACTTATATAACTGTTCGAGTTTTGAGCTGTTCGTATCCCGAGGTACCACTGTACTATATTTTATTGAAATATACGTGTTGCATTTTAATAAAATTTTCTATCATTGTTGCTATGGTAATTTGTTATTACATACTAAATATCATTTTGTACTTCTTTAGGGATTACTGTAGTTCATGCACAATGTATATTTTTATTTTTCTGATGTTTTGATCAGGGCAGCACTAGACTTCAGTCACAGTCATGCACATTGTGGAAGTGCTTAATTTACTGGGTTAGCCATGTCTGGCTAAATCTCTGTAAAAATTTGATGTACATAAAAGGGCCCAAAATTTTGAAAACACTGCCAGAACTCTCCAGAGCCACTGTCTCAGTCAGCATCTTCAAAACTACCATTAAAAAAACCTTCTCTCCCTAACATATCCCAACATCAGCTAAATATGTGAAAACTATCCATATTCTCATTGTCACTAACATATGGAAAAACAATCTAATCTGCTTTCTTCATATATGTAATCCTCACAAGGTGAAAGGGGACAAAGAGAATGTAAGAATTATGAGGAATAAGCCTGTTGAGTATACATGATAAAGTGAATGATAAAATTATTAATGAAAGAGTTAAAGGTAAGACAGAGAGCAGGATTGAAAATGAACATGGAGGAACTAAGAAGGGCAGTGGATGTGTAGATAGTGTTTACACTGAAGCACATAAATTATGGGTGTAATACACAAGATATTACAACTGTAATGTAGTGTACCCATTTTTGTACGTGTCTATTTTTTAAATATTAAAATTTTATTTTTTTATTATCACACTGGCCGATTCCCACCAAGGCAGGGTGGCCCGAAAAAGAAAAACTTTCACCATCATTCACTCCATCACTGTCTTGCCAGAAGGGTGCTTTACACTACAGTTTTTAAACTGCAACATTAACACCCCTCCTTCAGAGTGCAGGCACTGTACTTCCCATCTCCAGGACTCAAGTCCGGCCTGCCGGTTTCCCTGAATCCCTTCATAAATGTTACTTTGCTCACACTCCAACAGCACGTCAAGTATTAAAAACCATTTGTCTCCATTCACTCCTATCAAACACGCTCACGCATGCCTGCTGGAAGTCCAAGCCCCTCGCACACAAAACCTCCTTTACCCCCTCCCTCCAACCCTTCCTAGGCCGACCCCTACCCCGCCTTCCTTCCACTACAGACTGATACACTCTTGAAGTCATTCTGTTTCGCTCCATTCTCTCTACATGTCCGAACCACCTCAACAACCCTTCCTCAGCCCTCTGGACAACAGTTTTGGTAATCCCGCACCTCCTCCTAACTTCCAAACTACGAATTCTCTGCATTATATTCACACCACACATTGCCCTCAGACATGACATCTCCACTGCCTCCAGCCTTCTCCTCGCTGCAACATTCATCACCCACGCTTCACACCCATATAAGAGCGTTGGTAAAACTATACTCTCATACATTCCCCTCTTTGCCTCCAAGGACAAAGTTCTTGTCTCCACAGACTCCTAAGTGCACCACTCACTCTTTTTCCCTCATCAATTCTATGATTCACCTCATCTTTCATAGACCCATCCGCTGACACGTCCACTCCCAAATATCTGAATACGTTCACCTCCTCCATACTCTCTCCCTCCAATCTGATATTCAATCTTTCATCACCTAATCTTTTTGTTATCCTCATAACCTTACTCTTTCCTGTATTCACCTTTAATTTTCTTCTTTTGCACACCCTACCAAATTCATCCACCAATCTCTGCAACTTCTCTTCAGAATCTCCCAAGAGCACAGTGTCATCAGCAAAGAGCAGCTGTGACAACTCCCACTTTGTGTGTGATTCTTTATCTTTTAACTCCACGCCTCTTGCCAAGACCCTCGCATTTACTTCTCTTACAACCCCATCTATAAATATATTAAACAACCACGGTGACATC